AGAGGCATTTCCAAGGTCCCCTCTCAGCCTTCTCTTCTCCAGGCTGAACAAGCCCAGCTCCCTCAGCCTCTCCTCCTAGGAGAGATGCTCCACTCCCCTCCTCATCCTCGGAGCCCTGCGCTGGGCTCTCTCCAGTAGCTCCTCATCTTTCTTGAAGTGGGGAGCCCAGCACTGGACACAGCACTGCAGATGGGGCCTCAGTGGGGCAGAGCAGAGGGGGAGGAGACCCTCCCTCGCCCTGCTGCCCACACTCCTCTGAATGCACCCCAGGAGACCATTGGCCTTCTGGGCAGCCAGGGCACGCTGCTGGCTCATGGTCACCCTGTCGTCCCCCAGCACTCCCAGGTCCCACAAGGCTTCTTGGAAACCGTTTCGGTGTAGACTGGTAGGCTTTGTCAGTAATTTTGTGCCATTTCCTTGGAATGACTCTACACGTCAAGGTGGTGAGATCGGCATTTTGGTTTTTCCATGTGGTGGACAATAGATTTGCTGTGCTGTGTAGGTTTCTCGGAGGACTCTATCCTCTCAGAGAGAGAATTACTGTTAAAATACAACAAATGGTGCTGGGCAGAGGCACTGTGTGGACTGATTGCAGAAGGAGTTGGAGTGAGATATTTTCTTTCTTGCCTTCCAATACTGTGTAGTTTACTGATTGGAATAAATTTCGAAAGAGCGAAGTTTTAACCAAAAAAAGCCCTACTAGAACGTAGTAACTGGGAGGCAGAGATGGGTGACTGAAAGGGTGAATACCAGGCGGCGCAGGAAGATGGGCTTTAGCAGAACACTTAGGCTTTCAGGACAGGAGAGCTGGTAGCAAGTGATCCTAAAAAGCAGGTGACCAATGTTTTGAAAGTGAGGAGAACCTTCAGCTTCTTGTGGAAGAGAAGAATTAGGTGAGGAAGTGATTTTTATCTTGCTTAATCTGATCTGAATTCATACAAATTTTTATTCCTTACATTCCGTTTCCAGAAGGAACTGCAAATGTGGAACAAGAACCGAAAGTCCCCGAAGCTCGCGTTGACCTGCTGGAGAAGGCTGAAGACAGGCGACCACCTCCCAGCCCCCGTGAAGACCATCTTCCAGAGCAGACCAACCATCTTCCGGAACCGGCAGGTGAGAAACGCAAACCACGGTGTCGAACCGGAGCCAGCCCTGCGCTGTCCGTTCTGCCCCACCACCGGAGTTCTTCCTCACAGACGCCGTTCTCCTGTCCCGACCAAGGAGAAGGCAACAAAGGCTGAATTCCCAGGAGGTCGTTAGCGTGTGCGAACGTGGGGTCTGTTATGGATGGGTGGTGGTCTTAGCATTTGAAATCACCATCGTATAACTTGTCTTTTTCTTCCTCATCCTTAGTTGTTGTACCGGTGTCGGACACAATTTTTATTTCTATTTAAAATTGAAATGCAATTAATTACAGATAGAACTGTTCTCCAGTGTAATTAATGTCTTACAAATTAAATCTTGTTATAATGATGTGTAGCTAGGAATTTTGTAGTGTCTGCATGAATATATCAGGGGTGTGTATGAGTACCAGATGATTAGCATCAGGCAGGGACTCCAGCCTGACCATGGAGCACAGTCTGGATTTGAAGTCCAGTGGGAAGCTGGTGGAGTCTGAATCTGGTTGGTTACAAAGAGGGGGGGAAATCAAACCCCCACCACCCTGTGCCTAAGCCCCAAATCTTTTCTTCCTGTTTTACCTCCGTCTGCCAAAATAGAAAATTGCTGCTTAAAATGGGGTTGTGAGGAGATAGCACGTGGTGGACTGCCATATCTCATAAACTTCAGCCCTGTTAGGAATAAAACCCTTTCCAGGGGCTTGCTCTGAAGCGGCGGGTTGCCTCTGTTCACAAGAACTGAAGCGTTCCCTTCGTGTTTTTCACGTTTCAGTTCCAGCAGAAGCAAAAGAAGCCGTCGCACTAGAAAACAAAAACCACCTTCCAGAAAAATCCGTTGCTACCGTGGATGTTGCTGTTACAGAGAAACAGAAGGAGGAGGCTGAACACAACCACATCCAGCACGCAGAACCTCAGCAAGAAAAAACCCTGCGAGAGCAGACAGGTAAAATATAAAGAATAATTCAATTTTAGAACGGAATTATCCTCTGTGAACCCTTCACCTTCTCCTGCTGACCGCGTTGCCGCTCGAGCGAGCAGAAGTCTTTTTTTCGCACCAGGCAGCTGTGCGGTTCTTTGCGTTTGTCGGCGGTTCTGCTTGCGCTTTGCCTCTGCTCCCTGCCCTCTTAAATAGTCTTTTCCCCTCCCTGTTCACCGGACTAAAAGCCCAAATACGGGTGCTGCTGGTACTTTGTCACGGGGACTGGCTTCTGTCCTTTCTGCTGGAGAGTTTAAAAGCTCACCGTGGTTTTGCCATCGTTGCTCGCTTTTTATTTCGGTGTTAAAAAGCACCATTAATTCTTATTACAACGTTCCTAGTGAAGACCTCCTTCCAAATTGTAATTACCAAAGGAAAATGTAAATTTTTTTTCCTGCTCCACTTAACCCAGCCTCTCCACTGAGCCCTTTCTGCTTCCGCTTGCGACCGGAGGCCGATTTGTGGGCCGGGGATGGCTGACAAACGACTGATGCTCTCGCTAAAAGCCGTGGCTCGGAGCTAAGGAAACCTGGAATGGAGAACACCAAACGACTTCTGCTGCGGAGGTTCTGCCTCCCGCTGCTTCCACCCTGGGCGCCGGGGGAAACTTCACGCTGCTGCTCCCCCGTTGTGCCCCTGCTCCCTTCCCGAGTCGCACCTTTCCACTACATTTTTTATTTTCATATTTTGGAAGGGTGCCACTTCGGGATAGAAAAACTGTATCTGTCTTCTTGCCTGGTGAAGACAAAACGGATCCTTAATGCATTTTTAAAAAGGGATGGCATGTGCTTACAAGAAGTATTGCTTTCTGGTGGGCTAAGAGCATGTATCAAGAATTATGTATTTTTAAATAGCATCGACGTATTTATCGGTAATATTTAGATAGGTTTTGCGTGTAAATGTCTATCCCAGCCCTACTGAGGTGGCTTTAGAATTAGTGTGGTATTGGTGCTGGAAATCTCTGTGTGTATGACTGTATGGACTGTTTTAGATGGCTAAAATCACCTATATAGTATATTTATTTATTTTTTTTAAAGCAAATAGTTGCTTCGATGTTTGAGCGGGCTTCCTGTATTCCAGGTCTACCTACTGCACAAGTCAGGCAAGCTAACAAATCGAGTGACCGCAGGTTTGGCAGAGCGAAACCTGCACCCGAGGAACGTCTCGTAGGTGTCCCACGAGAGAAGAGTACTGACCCAAAAGTAGACCCCTGTTCTGTAGTGGAACTTGGACGTGTGGCTGGAGCGTCCCCTCGCACTAGGGTTGCACGTAAAAAGGCGACTGAGCAGGCGGTCAATGCGCCGTCGGAGTTTGGGGAGAGCTGCAGAGACATCCCAAGGGAGAGCTGGGAGCTGGAAGGTTCTCTGGCCGTTGCGAAGAAGAAGAAGAAGAAACCAAAACAAAAGAGAAACCAGCTGCCAAGAGCAGTGGAGTTCTGGGATGAAAACGTAATGGTCTCCAAAGCTCCGAGAAGTTCTCCCTTTGCTGTTGAATTCCAAAAACCAGCTGTCTGTCCCGTCATGCCCGCTGAAGCTCGCAGAGAGCAGTCGGTCGCCTCAGGGAGCGGAGCTTCAGATGTGCCAAGGGATTCTAAAATAACATCTGGAGGTCAGATTCTGGAGGAGCAAAACGCCTTCTCGGTGCCAGCACCAGGACTGCAGGCCCGAAAACCCAACGCGCCCTTGGAATCCGTGTTGGATGCAAACAGTGGAGACGTGGTGAGAGGAGAAGAAAGGAGAGGCGACGACTTGATGTTGCAATCTTACGGCGAAAGAAAAGAGGTTCCCTTGCAGCAGGTAGGCGAGACGAAGGCCGGGGAATCTGTTACGGCAAAGGTGCCAACCAAGCCTGTGGAACGCGATGCTCGTGATGAAAATGAGAAGAGGGAGCATACGGAGGCAAAACGCGCTGACCCGCTGGTGTCTCTTCCACCAGCGATCCAGCTGAGCAAAGCAGAAGCTCCTGCAGAGACCAAACCTTCGGAATTGCTCCTCTCTGATACAGACAAGAAGTCTCGACGCGCGTCTCCCGGGCATCGCGCGCGCGGTGACGCCGCCCGTCCCGACCTCCGGCCT